CTCTGTTCCATTTTTAATTTGCAGTTATGATTAAACTTGATGTTAAATGGAGAAAAGCGCAAGCAAAATCTTCAAAGCAATTTTGATTTTTTTAGATTATAGCAGTCCGCTCTCTGGAAATGTGTGCCTTGCCTAATTTATTGTATCTGTTATTAATCCAGCCAGGGGATGACATAGTCTTAATGGCAGAAGCTCTAGAAAAGCTTTTCCTGCAGAAAATCTCCGAAATGACCCAGGAAGAAACTGAGATTGTTATAGCCCAGACAAAAGGAAGAGGACGTGCGAGGAAGGAAGCAGGTAGGCTGCTTGGTCTCCTGTTGCGTTCAGTTCTTATTTGGAAAATACAGACAGCTGAGCCATGCTCACCTTCGTGCAATCTCTCGGCTGCAAGTCCCAGCATACAGACCTGGTTTCATCCTGCTTAGTTTGGGGTGTTTAGCTGAGGTTTTTAAACTAAAGCGGCATCCCATGGGATTGCTGTATTCATTGGTGTTCTCAGATGGCCTCCCTCTGTTGAGCAGAGGGCAGCTTAGGAGCCTTGTGATGGGTCTAAAGTTGTGGGGGGATGGAGTGTGGCTACCTAATGCTAGTGCGTAGCTGTGTGAGGCATATCTCTGGTGAAAAGGAAGGGTTATGTGACATCTCTTAAACTCCCTTGTCCATGACTTCCGGGCACCTTTCCTTTTTTGCGGGAGGAGGAGGAGGAGTGTTGGGGATAGCCTTGCAGTAAATAGAGCTCTGTTAAGGCTTTGGATTGTTAGTAGCAGTGAAACGTTGTCGCTCCCTGCTTTTTCACCACGGTAAAAAGCTGAGAACGATAGTAAAAGTATTTCAATTCTGCTATCGGGAAGCTAAGTGAGATTATGAAATACACTCGAGATACCTCAAGGGTAAATGATAGCTGGTAAAATAAGCAAGCAGCATGAACCGTGTTGTATCAGATCTCTTGAGTTTTACAGTGCTTTCATGTGCTTGTGGGTGTCCTCAGTATTGCAAAGTAGCTGTGTTGGTGGCTAAAGAGAAACCGATTTTGAGAAACTGCAGTGTGGTGACTAGAGAATGACGATTTGGGGAAACGGAAGCTTTACCGTGATGGGAATCCTACTGTGGAGAGCATCCGGAAACAGTTACAAGCTTCAGGATCCACCGATGTCCTCTTTGCATGCACACAAAACTTCTTTAAGTTACAGTTTTCGTAGTTCATGCATTAATTTTGCCAAGATTGTGGCTACACCATATCTGTTGATACTAAAATAACGCGCCATCCTTTGAAAGGATGCGTTGCTACGTGTGAGAGGAAATGCTAGTCGCTGAAGAGGAATTAACTTTGTGCAGACCTGCTGTGCTCCGCTAAAATCCCAGCTGAGCCCCTTCCAGGGGGCTAGACTGATCGATTGGCCTTGCGTTGGTCTTTTGCAGGGGTGACATTTCAACCTGAATGCTTTAGGCTCTGCACAAAGTTGAACTGCAGCGTGTTGAAAACTATTTAAGGTTACAAGTCGGTAAAATTGCCCTTACAGTCTGTATTTTTGTCTGTTTATATCTTAAGACTATGTTAATGATTTAGGCTTTTTTGATGCTGTGTTCCTTGCTTAGTAAATTACAGGATCAAAAGATACTGTTTTGCTCATCTAATCCAATCCTCTGTCTACTATGTAATGTAAAAGAGTAGTTCAAACACTGGTTCATTTAGTACAGTCTGTCTTGTGGAAGAACGTTAATATAGCGTAAAAAAACTCCACTGCCACTTTTGAGAAGGAGTTCACTACCTAGTTGCCACGTTAAGTATTTTCATGATATGTCTCTGCTCTGAAGTCTAAACCACTGTCTCTTCTTTAAATAACTTTGTTATATTGAAGAGTCCCATGTTTTCAAATCTGTGTTCTCCATAATAATCAGATTCTTTCACTATAAGGAATGTTTCCAATCTTTTAGTCCTCCTTTACAGCTCTTCTATGAACCCTCTCCAGTTTTTCCCATAAATAACTGTGGACACCCTAACTGGACATAGATGTGACTGCTACTAGAATACTGTGCCAAATACAGAGGTAAAATAGCCTTGATTCCCCTGTTTATACTTCAAGGATTTCATTAGCTCATTTTTTGGCCATGACATTACACTAAGAGCTCAGCTGCAATCGGTTCTCCACCATGATCCATAGTCTCTTTTCAGACTCCACAGTTCACAGGAGAGAGACGTTACCATTCTGCAGGTCTGCTCGGCGGACACTATTTCCTAGAAGCTTGCATTTGGCCACGGGGAAACACGAGTTGTCGTGTCCAGCGTACCAAATGCTGCAGATGGCTCTCCTCTTTAACACTTCACTGTGCCCCAGACTTGATGGCAGCTGCCAACTCCGTCAGCAGTGATTGTATGTTTTATTTCTGATCATTCATAAAAGGGCCGAACCCATAACTGACCGCAGCGGCACCCCATCCGAAGCATGTCCACTTTTGTTTCGAGATCCTGTTCTTAATTTAAACATGTGTCATGTTGATCTTGCATCATGCTCATTTCTTAACCAAAACGCTGTGTGATACCGAGGCAAATGCTTTTTATAAAAAGTGCTGCGCGCAGTATAGCCCGCGTTACCGAATTGGCAGTGTCGCCGATGAGACGCTCGATTGATTTGACCGCGTTGACTTTCTGTGTGCTTGCGCGGAGAGAGGCGCGCGCTCTGCAAGCCTTCTCGAATGCTTTGTGCTGCGAACCTCGTGTCTATTCTGCTACTTTTCTCAGCCTCGGTGTCAGACTGATCGTATTGTGGTCAAATGGGCGATTCTCCGAGTATACTGAAAATCAGCAGTAGCAATCCAGGGAGCTTAACAGTCAGCTTCTTTTAAGGGAGTGGGTGTAAGTTGTCCGGACCTGCTGAGTAAAAGGAAAAAAAAAATCCAACCTCAGTAGTTGCTGTTGAACATCCTCCTTGGTTGCTGTTGGAATAGAAAGCATTTCTCTGTTGTCATCACCAAGACATGAGCACAAATTCAGAACAGAAGCACTTATTGAATTCTTGGAGCCTTTTCTGCGTAATTATTGACAGTTGTAATCTTTCTCTATAGGAGAGAATTAATACTATTGTTAGAATGTCTTTTCTTCCGATACACTGACGGAAAAAAACCTACCGATTCTCACATCTTGAACTGGTTTGTCTTGGCTTTATGTTCTGTTTTCTTCCCTTTGCAGTTTTTCTCCGTTTCCTGAGCTGCTAACGTGTGTTAGCTGCTAGCAACTTCCCAACGTACGTTCGAACAGCTATACCGTTGGCCCCGACTCGGGATCGGGCCGCCGAGTGCTTCAATACTGCTACTTATATAATATCTTTATGAATGCTTTCACTTCCCCATCTCAGCTAAATGGGGCTTCTTAATCAGCGTTTGCTTCTTTCTCAATTACAGGGTAGTGGTTTGGTTCTAGGAGTGTTTTACCACGTTCTTGACCAGTTCTAGTTCTCATTTTGGGTGAAATTGTGTGTTGTGTTGAGCCCCGAAGGCTTGCAGCTTTGTGAAGCTGAGCCTTGGAGGTGCCAGCAAACCTGATTTTTTTTTTTTTGCACATGATGGTGTGACCAAATCATGCTTACTTGTATCTGAGATGTTTTTTTCATTGTTATTTTTTAGGCAATGTCCCTCATTTCTCTGTTATTCTGTTGTTGCTTTTTGAATTGCTGTGTATTGGGAAAGCTCTGCTGGGTTAGGAAACAGTTGGCCATAAGCTTTCTTAGCGCTCCTTAGATCCAGTAAAATGAAATTGCCTGTAGTGAAGCTGTCCTTCCTCTGAAGTATAGAGAGGCACTTAAGAAACAGGTTGTCCTCTTCTCTGCTGGGACTGGGGTAGATTCATCTGACTACGTATGGCCTTTAACAACGCGTAGGTCCCCATCCGAGCTCGACACCCTTCAGCTCCCTTCACTGACTGGTTCTCCGTCGAGTCTAAGGGGAGCCTTAGGCGACTGGCTCATCTGCAAACCCTACAATCTCACATACCATGTCTAGGGAATGCACGCCTGGTGTTCCCCATGCTAGCTTATCTTAGGATTTACCGCACTGAATATCTATTAGAAAACCCGCAAAATCCTTTTCTGCCAGTCTGCTTGTTAAATCAACTTGCACAGTAAATAATTCCGTGAATAATCACCTATCTCGGGATAAGCTGTTAAAAACAAGCTCGTCGCTCAGGTTGAGAAGGACTGCAATGAAGCTCATTGCTTGGGAGGGAGAAGATATTAAGAGCTAAGCACGCTCTGTAGTCCAGGTGCCATTAAGGTATCATTCACGAGCACATTCGCTGTGTACTCTTGTTTTAATGTTCCTGATGTCACATATGTGACATTGGTTTGGTGGGGAATGATGCTACTGGTTCAATTGTATGGAGGACGTGTACCCTGTGAACTTGCTTTAAGGAGTCTTTGCTAGTTTAGAGAGTTCTGCTACAGCTTGGGGAAGCAGCGGGTGTAAAACTAGCTGGAAAACGTTGTCTATTGCGGTTATTTCAAAAGGCCACAAGTGTCTGGTAGAAGTGCTGAAGGGTGTAGCTCTGCTTGGACTTATTGCTGCCTGCTGTGTTCAATCACCTGATAATCTCCGAATAGCAAATACGCTGGAAGATATGCTCTCACCTTCCCAAATACGTGATGTGACACCAAGCTCATTAACTCTCCCAGCAGACAGTGCGCGAGTGCAGCCTTCCAGCTCTCGGTCACTGCCACATCAGACGGGTCTCGTGCTCTTTAGAAATGTTTTGGAGATGGCGGCGCACAGCTGATACTTTGCAAGGAGACCAGCGTGAAAACGCCCGAGTTTATTCTGTTAATAGGTTGCTGAATGCAGTCTGAAGCCCGGTTTCCCCTTTTTAAAGAAAGTCGCTGGGTTGGCTGGTAGTTGAGCATCTGAACTCCTAGCACAAAATGTTTTTGTAGGAGAATTGCAGTAATTGCGGCTCTTGGTGACTGCCCGTGAGCAAAACTATCTGCATTTCTTTTCTAAATAAATGTTTTTTTTTGTGGGCAGTGTACTCTTTGGAAGATCTGTTGGGTAGACTGCCAGGCAGGACATGCAGTGACTGATTCCTACTGCTAGCGCTCTCAGGAGATTCTTACTGAAAGAAATAGCAGCGGAAATATAGATATTTCCATCTCTACAGCCTGGAAGCTTAGAACAAAATGAGAAGTGGGCTTTCTCTTTGCTCGTGATCCCCGATGTATTTAGTGACTGAGTGAAGGGATCATTCCCAAAGTGCCAGGGATTCCCAGGTGGTCCTTTCAGTTCTCTTCTTACTGGGACGTGTGTACAGACTGAACATAACAATTCAAAAGGACACCTGGAAATCTATTTGCTCTCTAACTGAAAGTGCTCCTGTAGCGCCTGCTGTGCCCAAACCTTCTCCTGAATGGAGGGCTTTTAGGATGATCTCACTTTGCTGGTAGCTCACTCTTCTTGAAGGACAGCCGGAGGGAGGCAGTGTGTCTCAGCGTCGACAAAGCACAGCACGATTCCTGTTTGCAGGGTGTTTCCTGGAAAGCTGGGAAAGTTCAGAGCTTTGCACCTCAAAGCAGCAGCAGCAGCTCCAGCAGGGAGGGTTTTTTCCCCCAAATCACTGGAAGATCCAAGGACAGAACTGAAGTTTCCTAGTTTGCAGTCTGGTGTCCAACCCTCTGGTCTACAATCACCCCATGTTTGAAATTGCCTAATGATGAATTTACCCTCTAGCTGACAGGAGAGATTTCTCCAAGACCGTAGCAGCTGCGATGACCTAAGTGACCAAAAAATAAGAAACTTGCTCTTGACAAGAGAGCACAGATTGTTTCTGAAGGAAGGAGCTACCCAGCTTTGCTCCACAATTATGGTCATCAAGAAGCATCGCAGAAAGGGTAGACGGGGAAAGATGCATTCGACTCTTTGCCCACTCTGAGAAAAATCCTTTGTAAGGACAGGGGAAAGAGAGTAGTATGTCTTTGACCTAATCCTTGGTCTTTTTCTCAAGTGATTTTGGTACAGTTAGGTCCTGGGCATCTTCTTCATTTCACCTAGCAAGCTATAAAAATATTGAGGAGACCTGACCGGCTGCCCAAGAACAGGAACGACAAAGTATTAATTACCTAAGGAGCGATATTATTTAAATGGCCAGCATTAATTGTTTTCCCATTAAAGCTGAGAAACGCTGATGAGAAAGCAACCCTTTCTTTCTTTTATCTTGGCAGTTACATCCAAACCAGGATCATCTACGGTACAGAACGCGACCCAAGCGTCGTCCCCAGCCCAGACGCCGGCTCCGCCGCAAAATCTCCAGTCTGCGCAGACAACTCATTCCTTCCCTTCCGTGACCCCCGACCTTATTGTACAGACGCCAGTAATGACGATGGTGCCTCCTCAGCCTCCCGCGCCTCCTCCGCCTGCACCCCAAGCCCCTGCTCCGCCGGCCCCAGCTCCCCAGCCCATCCAGCCTCACCCTCCCGTTATCCCCACTCCCGCCCAGCCCGTGAAGGTGAGTGATTTGGAGTTAAGTATCTAACAACTGCGTATCGTGTCGGCAGGGCTTGTGTCAGCTGGCCACCCTTCCTTTGGCACTGGAGTCGCCCTTAAAAGGGGCCGATCTCAATGTAGTCAAAAGATTTGCGTTCTGAAAACGCTTCCTTCTCCCCGTTGAGTAGAAAAGGAGCCTGTGGTGACCCTCTAAGACACAGGTTGTACTTCGTAGGCAATTAAAGCTAGGTGTGATGAACTCCACCCAGGTTTGCATGGAAAGCCGGTTGGTCCTCTTGAGACCTTGCTTATTTGAGCGCCTTACGTGACTCAGGAAAACAATCTCGACTTAACTGAAGTGACTCATGCACTTCACCTTTATCGCCACAATGGAGATAATCTGTATATTTTTCTAGAGAGCTCAGTACAGATAGACAGTATTTAGGGAAAGCCTTTTGACCTCCCCCTTTTGCTGCTTCCTCTGTGCTGAGGCTTTTGAGTCACTCCCAGTGGTGAATCCTAGTCATGCTGCAAGAAACACAAATCAGTTGCAGACTCGGTAATATTGATTTATTTGCTTGGTTATAGACAAAAAAAGGAGTGAAGAGGAAAGCAGACACCACCACACCAACAACAATAGACCCGATTCATGAGTCGTCATCGCTGCCCACTGAACCCAAGTCCACCAAGCTGGGTCCGCGAAGGGAAAGCAGCCGCCCAGTTAAGCCTCCAAAGAAGGATGTTCCAGACTCACAGCAGCACGTGGTAGAAAAGAGTAGCAAAGTGTCGGAGCAGTTAAAATACTGCAGTGGAATCATCAAAGAGATGTTTGCCAAGAAGCACGCTGCCTACGCCTGGCCCTTCTACAAACCTGTGGACGTGGAAGCACTGGGACTGCATGATTATTGCGATATCATTAAACATCCCATGGATCTGAGCACAATCAAAGTAAGCTCAGGTTCACACGAGGAGCGGGGGGAGGTTGGGGTCTGCGTGGGAAGTGGATTATGTGGAAAAGATAATTTGTCCCGGGTGTGCGTCCTTATCGTTTTCAGATATCTGCCAGGCTATTTCTTTTTGCCTTAGATTTCTCGTACATTCGGTCTCTTACTTGCCTGTGTTGCTGTTATCATGACATTTGGAAAAAACAAACAACCCATCATCTCTCCAGAAGGGCTCTTAGGAAACGCTTACATGCTTTTTATAGAAATTTTCCATTACTGTATAGGTCTCTACTTAAATGTTCTTAGCCCAGGAGATGGCCTCAGTGAGCATAAATTACACTAATCAGAGGATTTTATTTAAAAGAAAACATTTTCTATTCTTGTAAAATAAAGGCCCGTGTTTCTGAAGTTGTCTGTCTAAATCAGTCTTCTGTTAAGTTCCCTCTAGTGGAGAGTTTGAGTTGCTTATTTTTAAAAAGGAACTGAAAAGTAGTCCATGTTTCTGCTTGAAACGTTAGTTTGTTATTTAGAAATCTGCACTTTTATAGCTACATCCTGAACTCACGTTTAAGCTGTTAAAGCTTAAGTCTGACTCCTAGTTCACCCAACTTAGGTTTGTGTTTTGAAAATAGAGGAACGGACCAACTTTTCCTTTCTCTTAACCCACTTCTTACTGAGGTTATACCAGGTCTTTCGCCTGCAGGAAGCAAGTGAGGGTTGCAGCTCTTCCTTCATCGCGGCGTTCAAACTGTTTTGCTAAAGGGTGACTCAGTGACACGCTGACATTTTTCTCTGCCCTCAGTTTTGTCGGAGAAGCGACAATTTGGAGCAGTGGCTAAAAGGCTTTCAGACCGCGCATAGAGGATCTTTTTGGGTCCAACCTTGTTTAATTAAGTTCTTCGTTTTGGCTCGCTGATTCAAACGTAGCTTAAGGCGATAGGCACAGACCCCTCTGCCCTTGGTAGTTGCCGTATCTGTGTGACATGAATTGGTGAGTCTGGTTCCAGTTGCCGGTGGCCAGATGTTTTTCCTTTCACAAGTGCGTGAGGTTTGGCTGTGCTCTTGGCAAACCTGGCAGAAAGGCAGAGCGGTGAACGAGGCGGCGAGCCAGGACCATCCTTGTCTCCAGCTCCTTCGGGCAGAAATCGAGGTAAATCACCAGATGGCATGGACAAGTGTTAGTAAATAGAGGTCTTGATGCTTCTTGGCTTCAGACCTCTGTGCTCGCTTCCTGATCAATTGGAGGAGTAATATGTGGAGGCTTGATTTCAGACTTGTATTTTTGTAGGGCCGCACGCTTTCCCTCTGCGCTGGCCGGCCGTAGCTATGCTGCAGATGAGCAGCAGTAAGTGTAGCAGGTTTTGTACCTCTCTGGCTGCCTGTGCACCTTGCAGGTGACCCCCAAACAGCCACTAGTGGTGTCACCATGCCCTCGGCTTCCTGGGTCGCGTAGGGCTGCATGTCTGAGGTCACTCTTGGCAGATGTTGCAGAGACAGCTGCTGAACTTTCTTCTCTGTTTTCCTGTTTTTTGAATTGAAGCCCTCTTTCCCAGAGAGAGGGAATGAGATTAATTCTTGACTCGAGAAGCCTCTCCACTGAGTGCATGTTAGTTGGATGCAGCTTTCTGGGTGGGGGTCATCCGTCAAGGCTGCTTCCACCCGAGCCAGTCCTCCGGGTTCTTTTTATAGCTGGGCTGAAGGAGAGAGCGTGAGAGCAGATTTGGCTTATCCTAGGGCAGATGTCTGAACAGGGCAAGTGACTCGCGCTGTAGATGCCAGCTTTTGACTGTAAAGGGAGGCTAGATGACTAGATACTGAAAAGGGGATGAGATGAATCGTGTCTCCCATGCCAATGTAAAAGCAGGAGAGGAAAAGTGATGTCCTCTTTTGTTCCCTGTCATCCTTAGCGAAGGATCATCCCGTTGTCGCTGCATTTTACCCCTCAAACGAGGCCACGTTTCTAAAAGGAGTACAGACAGGTGGGACCTTCCTTCTAAGGAAACGATCTGAGCAAAGCAAAACCATCTTGTTTTGCTAATAAATGATGTTGGGAGCGTGTGGAACTTTAGCGCTTCTTGGTTCTGGCCTGATGGAGCCGAGGTTCAGGAGTAGTGATGTTTGGTGGTGGCATTGCCGGCCTTGAACACCATTCTTCTAGTAGAGCATCACTGTTCAGTTGCTCACGCGATCTGGAGCGCAGGTGGTCTCTTGGGTAGCGTGAGGATGGCCTGAAGGACCTGTAGTCCTCTTTCGAATACACCTTCAAATTATCTTTACGGATCCTGGTAGTCTGCTCCTTATTTAGTAAACCAGGTAAAGTCCTTCATTTAACAAAGATTAGTTGCTCCACTGTAGAGAGAGAAACTTGGGCTTGTGAAGGCCTGTAGCTCCATGGGTGCCACAGTGCTTTATTTGTTCAATCAATTGGATTGTTTTCTTTGCACTGTTAATAGCAGAGAGTTGTTTTTTTTTCCCTCCTTTCTAGTCTAAACTGGAGAACCGGGAATACAGAGATGCTCAGGAATTCGCCGCTGATGTGCGATTGATGTTTTCCAATTGCTATAAATACAACCCTGCCGATCACGAGGTGGTCGCGATGGCACGGAAACTGCAGGTAAGGAAACGCTTCGTTACAGCCTGCTTCGGTTTTCAGTGAACACCTACATCTCTCTTTACTAATTGTTCCAGCATAAGGGCCATGTAGTCTTAAAATAATATTAAAAAGGCCAGCCTGGTAGGTAAAGGTAAAAAAATGCTTCTTTTGTATTGCTCTGGAAGCAGTAGTTGGAGTCAGGCTGAATATATGGATTTATTGTGGATCTATGAGAGACTGAGCTTTTGGGGAGAATATATTCAGGGATCTTTTAGCAGCCCTGGAGAACCTCTGTCAAGGGCGCTATGCAAGGAGCTGTCTACCAGTCTGCAGTTGTTTGCTGGGCCCAAGCATTTTGAATAAAGTAAATAACCATTAATCGAGACTTGGGGATTCTCCATATCTGTGTTTTCAGATGGTCGTTTCACTTCAGTGCTGATTTATCCTTTTTTCCCCCCCTTTTCTGCCTTCGGAGGATTGTGGACGCTGTTGTCGTTTTTGAAAGAGATAAGCTTGCCTGCTGTAGTGTCCCTCGATGGCTCCTTAATCACAGACTCACAGAATGGCCAAGGTTGGAAGGGACCTCTGGAGATCATCTAGTCCAACTTTCAGCTTGTCAAATTTGATTGCACTGGAGGAGGAGTTGGGAATTAAGTTCCTCAAACTTGCTTGATAGCAGAGCTCAACGGGTTGTGATCAGTGACGCAGAGTCATCTAGTTGGAGGCCCGTAGCTAGCGGTGTCCCCCAGGGGTCAATACTGGGTCCAGTATTGTTCGACTTATTCATCAGTGACCCAGATGAAGGGACAGAGTGCACCCTCAGCAAGTTTGTTGATGATACAAAACTGGGAGGAGCGGCTGCTACGCCAGAAGGCTGTGCTGCCGTTCAGAGGGACCTGGACAGGCTGGAGAGATGGGCAGAGGAGAACCTCCTGAAGTTCAACAAAGGCAAGTGTAGGGTCCTGCACCTCGGGAGGAAGAACCCCGTGCAGCAGTACAGGCTGGGGGTTTACCTGCTGGAAAGCAGCTCTGCCGAGAAGGACCTGGGAGTCGTGGTGGACAGCAAGTTGACCATGAGGCAGCAATGTGGCCTTGTGGCCAAGAAGGCCAATGGGATCCTGGGGTGCATTAGGCAGAGTGTTGCCAGCAGGTGGAGGGAGGTGCTCCTGCCCCTCTCCTCAGCCCTGGGGAGGCCTCACCTGGAGTACTGTGCCCAGTTCTGGGCTCCCCAGTACAAGAGAGACATGGAGCTCCTGGAGTGAGTCCAGCAAAGATGGATGAAGGGACTGGAGTCTCTCTGGTAGGAGGAAAGGCTGAGAGAGCTGGGCCTGTTGAGCCTGGAGAAGAGAAGACTCAGGGGGATTCTGATCAATGTGCACAAGTATCTGAAGGGGTGGGGGTGTCAAGAGGATGAGGCCAGCCTCTTCTCCGTGGTGCCCAGAGATAGGATGAGAGGCAAGAGGCACAAACTGAACCACAGGAAGGTCTACCTGAACATGAGGAAAAACTTCCTCACTGTGAGGGTGACCGAGCACTGGAAGAGGTTGCCCAGAGAGGTAGTGGAGTCTCCTTCCTGGGAGACATTCAGAAGCCATCTAGACAAGTCTTGGGCAACCTGTTCAAAGTGACCCTGCTTGAGCAGGGGAGTTGGACGAGATGATCTCCAGAGGTCCCTTCCAACCTCAACCGTTCTGTGATTCTGTGATAGCGGAGAGGAGTCTAGATCGGTGCCTCCACTGCGAGGAAGGCATGCAGGACGTGCTCAGGACTTGTTCGGTGGCGAGCGGGGTCTGGATTTAACAGGACGCCAGGTGAGAAGCGGGCGAGAAGGCAAGGGCCAAATCCGGAAGGGAAGAGGCTTTGTGGTTTATTGCCCGTAGAGAACAGCACGTTGCTGCGGGGCTTGCTAGGAGGATTAACCTGTAGCCTCAGCTTGCACGGGCGTAAAGGCCCCGCTTCCTCCTTATCGTTAAGATATAGAGCGATGTCGGCTGGTAGCAGCAGCCTTGCACGGAGCGGGCATGCGTGCAAAGGCAGCCCGGTAGCGACGTGAGATTTTTTGCTGTTTACAGTTCTTGTCGTCCGGGCTCATGAAAAGATGAACTCAAGCCGAATGGAGCAGAAGGACTATTTGAATGACAAGGCACTGGGGCTCCAGCTGTATGAAAGGAGAATAAACCAGCATGGCTTGCTTTTAACCTTCAGAAAGGAGGCGGGGAAGGGGTCTGATTTACATCAGAAAACACCAGCGAGCTGGGGAAAAACTATTAAGTTGAAGGACGTTTTTTTGACTCGAAAAACAAAGGCTAAACTACACACTAATAGCCCTGGGCTGGGTTTGTAACCAGTAGAGCGGTGCATTTCTAGAGGAGAAACAGGAGAAAAAACGCTTCCAGGTTGTTCTTAAATTGGTTTCTAAAAACTACTTTGTGTTGCAGTTGCCTGTGATGGGAAGAGGGTTTGTGTGACCGAGGGGAACTTCTGGGTTTTGAGTTCCCACGAGGGGCTGTCCGATGAAGTCACGATTTCCTCTGGTGACTTCGTAGAACCGTGATACTTTACGCTTCAAACTAGAGCAATATTTTCTCTTGTTTTTGTAGCGCGGTGGCTGTCGGGAAGCAAAACTCCGCGCCGTCACGGAGTGAATCGAAAAGCGCAAACTTTGTTAGCGTAGCTGCGTGAAAAAACTCTCTATAATATCGCTTCCCCCTCTGCTGAAGTGAAGTCACTTTTCTGGAGGGCAACAGCAGCTCATGAAAATGTTCCCAGCTGTTTTGTTTAGGTCGGGATGCGAAGGTGGAAATGCAGAGTTGGGACTTGGTGTGCAACTGAAGCTGCAAAAAAAAGTTGCAGGCATTTAAGCGGCAGCAAATTCCGGACGCAGGTCCGTATTGCAAGAGTGATACATGCTGAAAGAAACAATTCCTACGGCTTTTTCCTCTGGGTGACGTCATAATTTGCCGGGTGCTAATATTTTCTCTTGATGCTTTTACAAAGATACCACTCACGTTTGGGCTGTCTTAGTCTGAGATGAATATAGACTCCATAAATAAGTGTTTCCACTTGCTTTTAACATGGGATTAGTAGCCTTTAGCAGTCTTAGAATTTTTTTACACTGGATTCTGCAGTAAGTAGGTGCTGGAAAGACAGGACACTCACCCTTCTCCCTAGCTGCCCTTTCTTATTTTGGTCTAGCTTCTCCGCAAAAGCTTCGCAGCCTCTGTAAGGGGCTTCTTTGGGCTTTTCCCCAGTAGCAGCCAAGCGCGACCGCGATATCTGATCTGAAATTCCAGTCACTGTTGTCGCAGGCTACAGAGCTCTGAATAGCTCCACAGAAACTCGTGGCTCGTCGTCTTTCTTTCACCCGGTTCTCCAGGGAAAGTCTTGAGCAATCGGCATCGCCAGGTGATACTCAGGCTGTCCCCGAGGTGGTCAGAAACGCGGTACTTTCTATGTAATCGGAATTTCCCTCGGGTGCTTCAGTCCTGCAAACAGGTTCGGGAACACATCCTCGCCTGGAGCCGCTTGGGAAACCTTCTTCCCGACGCAAAGATGAGCAACGCGGTTTTTGAACGCGACACGTAAACACGGCAAACGCGCGTTGGCTGCGGATGGGGAAAAAAGTCTTTCTTGTCTGTTTATACAGCTCATTTTTATGTTCCTGGTGTTGGAGCCTATTACTTTAGGTGCTTGCCCTTGCTCGGCTTAATACCTTTCCACCCTCTTTGCACAGCTGTGCATAAAGAGCCCCTGTCCCAACAAAGTGGGCTTAAACACGTGTTGTTTCTCCACGATACTGCCTAAAATGAGTAGTGTTTTAGGCAGTGTGTTGGAGTTCAGAGTCCCCTTCCTTCTCCCCCAGCCAGTTAAAAGGAAAAGGCGTATTTTAGAGGAACCAAAGGCTTCGTTATTGGCGTATTTGCCTGTAACAACTCACAGTTGCGATGGTGGAGTCTCGGAATGGATGGATGGGTGCGAAAATGGCAACGCTGTCCTGCTGGCCACCTCGTGAAACAGCGATAGCACCTCTCCGTTCGTTTCTTACAATGTGCAGAAAGCTCGTTTCGGCTATGAAGAAAGCAAAAAGTGAGTGAGGCTTATGGAGCGCGCACAGGGTTTGGAAACAAGGCTGAGATTTCAAGTTTGGACGCGGGGTGGTGAGTTACACACCACAAACACACCATGTTTCTCAAGAGCTTGCCCCAGTCACCGCCTAATGAGTTATTTGGCCGTTCTGGGAACTGTTTTGTGTTCACCTTGGAGCTAACTCGACCGAAAGCTCCTTTTGGGACTCTGTTACGGCTTTACCCTTGGAAGAGCATTTTTAGGATTTTCAGTGTTTCCACTTGGATTCGCGTCTCGAAAAGGCAGTTATGTTAGCGAAGCGTGGAACTGAGGAATGTGCACTAAAATCAGGATCGTACCCGCTTCCTTATGACTTTTGGGAACTTGATGATGCTGTTTTTCCCCTTAGGACTCGTCTGGATGAGAAATATATTGAAAAATCTAACTAACATAAGTTTCCCACCCGTGCAGCCCAGCTTATTTCTTGAACATTTATGATGCTTCGGCGCTTAGAAGCACCTTGCAATGGACCCCGGGGGCAAAGATCATGTCTTTATTACATATACGTACAGATGATCTGAACAGGACAAGCTAAGGACAGGATGCCAGATGTTGCGTTAGCCCATTTAACAAACGAAGAGCAAAGGCGCAGAGAGGATAGAGAATTTGGGCGAGATCGGTCAAAAGCTAGATGTTCCAGTTGGGAACTGACACCTGATCTTCTTTCCGCTGGTTTTGCCATCGGTAAGAAAAAAAGACACTGCTCTCTAAAATCCCCTCTTTACAGACAGACACCCAGAAAGCATCTCAATGTCTCGTTTGTTGCCCTCTCATGGATTTTTGTTACTTTTTTTTCCTTCCCGTTGTCTGTCCCTGCTGATTACAGGTGGATCTTTTCAGCGTTGAGGGATTTTCCTAACCTGTGTGCTTTTGAATTGATCGATTGTTTAACTTCACCAGAAAAAACTTTAAATTAGCTTTCTTGGAGTGTTAATTAAAAAAAAAAAGGTATAAAAAAAAGTATAAAATTTGCATTTCTGACCCCGGAGAATTGAGAAACTCAAATTGAATATATACGATGCTGTAGCACCGGCTGCAAGCCCGTGTACCTCACGCACCAGACTCCTTGGTTCGTGGAAAACAGCAGTTAGTTTGCAAACGCACGCTAAGTGCAGCGCAGCGATTGAGAGCGCGAAAACATGACGTACAGCGAGGGAAATGACAAATTGGCCCGCGCGCCTCCGTCACGCTACAAGTGATGTCATCCTCGGAAAAGGGCAGAAATGGCTTTTTTCTTTGGATGGGTGCTAAAGAGCATTTTCTGGTTTGGATGTGACAGGTCGGCTCCTTCCCTTTGTCATCCTCGCGGCTTCGAGTGCCCGAGCGAGTAAGCGAATTTGCACGCGTTAGCGTTTCTGCCGCCAGATGGAAGCAGCGAAGCAACATCCACAGACGCCTGAAAAGTTGCTGCTGCTGAAAGGGTGCCTGAAACGTTGAGGATGGAGATAAGCAGCCTAGCAGGGCTCCGTCTGCCCTGATTTAGGAAGGAGGGAAGAAAGAAGCGGCTCGGGAAAATGCCGATATAGGGAAAAGCCCTACAGAGACAGTGGGCCTTACTGAAAAACCCTCTCTCGTTCCAAGGCGTCGCTTGTTTCTTGGGCAAACGTTTTTTGCGGCACGTAATAGCGAGGTGAGACGACCGAGTCCCTGTGCTGCGTGCTTAAAATCAGCTTAGGTTTAATGCTGCGCTTCAGCTGTAACGCTCTACCTTGATACCACAGGGGTTTGTTCACTTGCCAGTGCTTTTAAACAAGTTATATAAATATGTATGTGTCAGCACGCAGTTAATATTTACAGTCCGCGCTGTTGGGGAAAGAAGCAGCAGGCCTTGCCTGCACTGAGCAGCACCTCCAGCATATTGAAAATCCAAACTGGTGCTCAGAAATAATAATAACTATGTGAATGTCAGACCTGCGGGTGGAAGGAGAAAGTCTGGTTTATCTTTTAAGAACTTCAGAGAGGCAGAGAATTAGTTTTGCAAAGATGGACGCAGAAGACTTGGCTCATCTTTGGCAGGAGCAGGTAGGGCTATCCTTCCCTACAATCGCTTGCCAGCTTTTTCTAGTCCTTTGTACGTTTAGTTGTGCTCCGTCCTTGCCCTTTCCTTTCTACGTGCAGCTGATTGGAGAGAAGCAGCTCGGTTAAGCGTTCAAATCTCGCCGAGGAATCCTGCTGCTCTTAGCCACGTTTTCAGTCTCAGTCCATAATTTAAGCGTCCAAGCGGCTGCAGTAGGGAAAAAAAAAACGTTTTTTCCCATAGCTGCTCCGATCTCTCCTTCTCTCAGCTACTCTCCCCCGCTCTAGCGTCACTCCCTGCAAAACCCTGGAGAAGGAAGAGAGCGTTCCCGCGGTCCTGATTCTCCACGGAGCCTGGAGCTTAGCCCCTGTGATGCCAGCGAACAGCTGGGAGAGAGGCAGGTGGCAGATGCTTTTTCCAGAGGCAACGCCGGCGTAGACACCCGCGGTTGCCGCAGCTCCCGTCACGGTCAGGTGAAAGCGGTGGGAACGGCCAGAGGACGATTCAGCCCGATCTTTAAGATCCACCTGAATCACCCTCGGGGCGTTCCCCATCTCCGTGTTAACTCTAAAAGGAGCCCAGAGTGACTAGCTAAGCTCCGGATTAACTGCCTGATTTTTAAACAACTAAAAGCAGGTGAGTTGAGCCTGTTTTCAGGTCTCGCTCGCCTCTTAGGAAGCAAACACCCTGAACAAATTGCATTTTTGCTCTGAGCATTTCTTCTGGCACGAGGAGATTCAGATGGGCAAGCCCCTTCCTTGGAGAGGAGCAGCATACTTGCTTGGGGAACGCTCAGCAACAAAATCATCTATTTTCCAGTTGTTTCGTCAAAAACGAGCACGTACAAAACAGAGTAAGTATCGGTGTGAAGTGAGCTCAGGTATTTCATCCTTGAGCAGAAGCGTGGCCTTTTTTTCACTCCTTATCTATCTGGCTCATCTTAGGTTTAAACTAAAGTGGATGTCTAGATCAGGCTTTGGTAGAAATTGACTCTCGTGTGTGGGATAACTGTGGAATTAGGCCAGTTTCGTGTCCTGACTCACTCTTGAGGGTAATTGGAAACAGCTTGCACAAGCGTTTGCATGTAATTGAGATGGTTTTCATTTTCCCAATGCCAGTAGGATAAAGGAGAGCGGCAGTTTCATTTAGAAGATACAGCCTGTGTCGAGGCTGAAAAGGAGAGTAAATTGCAGTCTTGGGGCTGTGTTTGTAATACCTGTTTTGAGTTGTCTGTGAGTAGACTGCCGAAGCAGATGTAGAAAATCTCAGAATGTGCAAACTGTTTGACTCCTGTTTAGGTCAATAATGCAGCTTTTAAACGAGCCTCACCTTTCTTGTCTGTAAACTTTCCCCCCCAAACCATTTTGGATACAGTCAAAATTCCGCGCAGACGTTCAGCATTAAGGAAATTATCTTATCTGATATATATTGTCTTGTGCGTGTGTCTTGATTGCTTGGATGGCGACCACAAGTATTTGGGGAACACCCTGGAGAGGATAATTACATTTGCAGTGTAGCGCTCTGCCAAACCCTGCGTTATTTTCCAATGTATTTGCAGGATGTGTTTGAGATGCGCTTTGCTAAAATGCCTGATGAACCAGAAGAACCTGTGATTCCAGCCTCTTCTCCTGTGGTGGTGCCACCTCCGACCAAGGTGGCTCCCCCTTCGTCTAGCGATAGCAGCAGCGATAGCTCCTCCGACAGCGATAGCTCATCAGATGACTCCGAGGAAGAGCGAGCTCAGCGGTTAGCAGAACTCCAGGAACAGGTAACGTGTCCGTCTTAATGGATTGGTCTTGAACTCAATGGCCTTGGGCAGTTTGCCTTATTTAGCTCAAAGCCGTAGACCGTCTGGTCATAAAATAGTGAGTGTCAGCTGTAAAGTGCTGTAAAACCCTCAGCTGTAAAGGGCTAGTAAAGCACTAAGGAATTGGTGCTTTCCAGAACGGTCTTTCCAGACTCATTTAGGACACACAAAATGTTCCATAATCAGAAGAATTCCAGAATTTGGAGCCTAAGCTTCTGCATCCTGTCTGGCCTTCCAGCTCATGATGTTGTTGGCACTAGTATGTAAAGCATGGCTAGTGCTGAGGTAGCGAGCAGCCTACTTCTGCAGTTAAGAGGGAGAAGTAGAGTGCCAGACTCTTTAAAGAGCTTGCCTTCTTCCTGTTGCAGTGGTCCAGACGCTTTAATACACAAAAATCACAGTAGGCTGAAAAACTGGAAGAACTGACTTAATACTAACAGATAAGAAAGCATAGGTAGTACAAAAACAAAGGAGAAAAGCATCAGAGAGAAAGGTAATTAATAGGGAAGAGAAGGAGGTGCTGGGCAAAAGTATCTTGATCTTTGTATGTCTGCCTCTCAGCTTAAAGCAGTGCATGAACAGCTTGCAGCCCTGTCCCAGCCACAGCAGAACAAACCAAAGAAAAAGGAGAAAGACAAGAAGGAAAAGAAAAAGGAGAAGCACAAAAAGAAGGAGGAATTGGAAGACAGTAAGAAAAGTAAAGCCAAGGAGCCACTGCCCAAGAAGGCTAAGAAAAGTAACAGCAACAGCAGTACCTCCAGGTCAGCCCTGTCCCCGTTTCATCATGTGGTCCTTGTGTTTTGCTGCGCTGAGGAGCGTGACATGTGTTTTACTTTGATAATTCACTTCCTTAAATGCAAGTGTCTTGAACAGTCACACCTGTGAGTTTGGTAGGGCTCAGAGCAAGGCCACTCGCCTCCGAAGGGGCCTTAGTGCTGACCTGACCAAGTAGCAAACACGACTTCAGCATTGGTTCGCTCCAGTCTCAGCTCAGCCATACTGGCGTGCGCTGATGCGTTTCTGTGTTGGGATAGCGTGGCTGCTATTAACACGTTAGGTGTGGGGGAGAAAATTGCAAGGAGTCTGTCGAGCCTCGCATCCTTGAATTTGCTAGATTTTGTACCCCTTTTCTTGGAGCTGCAGATCTTGAATTAAGAGGTAAGATGCTGAGAACCAAGTGTCTGCTGCTTGCCAGTTGCTAACTTGAAGGGGATGTAGCATCGTGGTATTTAACCCTAGGCAAAAAGGAGTTGTTTGGCATATTAACTGTAATGAGATGAAATTAAGGACGAGGGAAATAAGCAGTGCAAACTTGCAGCAGGATCTCCTCGGAGCTTGCCTCTGTCCCCGGGCCTCACCACGTCGTTTAGTAAGTTCAGACTGAATAAACACTTCAGGGCACAAGCAGTGGATTATTTTAGGGAAATGGGCCCGTCTGTGACTGTGTTAACCTCTTCCTTTTCTGAGTCTGTGGGAATCTTCTAAATAGACTTCACGCATTAGCTCTGTTAGCACAGATGTGCTTAGAATCCACTTGAGACGGTGGGGGTTTTTTATTTTCACTTGGATGAACCTTCTACAAGCGCAGCTACCAGCTTTCCTTCCTGTGTTCTTGCCAGGTGGTTTTGAAATGCTCAGAGTATAGCCACGATGCTAATGCCGGGGATGTCCCCGAGCTATTTTTCCTTCTTGTGAACGTACTTTATGCACGCTGGGTTTTACCTCGCTCGCCCCTACCTCTAGTGGCTGTAGCTTCTCACCAGGTGCCCAGTTTGCCCTCTCCGTTTCCTTCGGTAGCAGTAGTTGCTAAAAAACGCTCACGTAGTCGTTAACGTTTGAGACGTTAGAATCGAGCAGCTGCCTTTTGAAAATTCTCCGCGTTCTGATGTGTTCTATACTAATCTTTTTATAATTATTCTTAAGTAGTAAGAAGGAGCCTGTGGCGGTGAAGAACAGCAAGCCCCCTCCAGCCTACGAGTCTGAGGAGGAGGAGAAGTGTAAGCCAATGTCCTATGAGGAGAAGAGGCAGCTGAGCCTGGACATTAATAAACTCCCGGGTGAGAAACTGGGCCGAGTTGTCCATATCATCCAGTCAAGAGAACCCTCGCTTAAAAACTCCAATCCGGATGAGATTGAAATTGACTTTGAGACATTAAAACCATCCACGTTACGGGAGCTGGAGAGATACGTAACGTCGTGTTTACGGAAGAAGAGGAAACCTCAAGGTACCTTTCATCCTCAAATTCCGGTGCTGTATTCCCAGTCTCCTGAGGTGTAGAAAGAGATGGGGGCACACACCGCTGTTTTAGGTGTTTTATATCCCTGTTCAGTGCCAAGGAGGATTGCACAGCTCCCACTTGTCTAGCAAAACGCCTAATGACACAACAGCGCGCGTGTTAAATGCTGCCGCTGGACTTTAATCCGGTGGCTCTGCTACAAGGCCACTGATTCGTAGCGGCCCTGCACTTTGAGCTCTAACGTAAATGTTTCCTTCATGCCAAATATATGAAGAATGCCACTTGTCGCGAGCTAAGTGGCATAGTACGCTCTGCCTGTACTATGAGCAGCATAAAACAACCTGCGTGTTTAATGAGCAGCAGTCTTTGGTGGGGGGGAGGCAGAAGAGAACGGAGGCAGGGAGGGCCAAGGCGCTTCCTCTGGCTCGCGAAGTGCTTCTACACCAACCTAGGACACCGTGAGGCCAGACGCCCGGGGCTTGCATTTGAGTTTTGCGCGGTCCGGGCTGAGAGACTTGCTACACGTCCCTTCCTCTGGCGGCTTTGGGAGTTAGAAATTTTTTTTTTTTGCTAATTTTTAATACGTATTTGTGCCTGAAGAACAGAAAAATTTTTTTTTTTTTTTTTTTTACCTAAAGGAAATCTTTCCCTGAACAGTGTGTCAGCAAGTAGAATCTGAAAGGAACCTCTGGGCTGCCCATGGCTGAGGTTGAGTGGTTAACGGCACAGGATAAATCTAAACGGAAAACAAGCCTGGCCAAATCTTGCGAGTTTTCTTTATGCTTATACACCCGAGTAAAACATCCTGATTTTGTTTTAGTTCAGCAAGTCATAAAAAGGTGCAACATTGCTAGTGGCCTGAGCAACTCTTAGGCTGTAGCTGCACGTTTTTATTCTAGTTTAGGCCTAGACTATTAAGAAAAAGGCACTTCCCTACTCTTTCACTGCCCCAGCCACCTACCTTGACCAGGAAGCTGATCCAGCTAAAAGCTAATGAGACCAAAAAGTGAGTTTTCAGCCCCTTACCCGGCATGCAGAAGTGCGAACCTGCTCCTGGGTGGCCACAGCCAGCTGGGCTGCCTGGGAGAGGAGGAGACGACCTCCCCGTTTTGGCAGCAACCCTGCTTTAGGCCAGCCTAAAATGTTTCTGTAATCCCCAAGCCTTCTGCATGGGTTTTTCTAGAACGAAGATGAGCCTCGCTCGTAGACGTACGCATGTAAAGTGCTGCGCGTTCACAGTCTGACCTCCAGGGCAGCCTGAGCACCTCCTGTTTTGGAGCCGTTGTAACACAGTGCGAGGGAAAAGCCTATTTTCCCTCCGCTCCAATCGTTATTTTCCATCCGCTAGGAAAATGTAACCTGTAAGGCATTAAAATCCCTGGTACGGCCCAGCTAGCATAAGTCAGCATTGGGAAGAAGGGCAGAAATCGGGAGAAGGGTGTACCGTGCCCGTCGGCGGGCGTTGCATCCCTGCGGCCCCCGGTCCTGGAGTCGCTCTTAGACGTGATGTTGGTGTGGGAGGACCGCAGAGCAGGAGACAAGATGCCGGGTTGTTCTTTTATCCGTTGACGATGTTGTACTGTTATCTTGTTGCAGCAGAGAAAGTGGACGTAATTGCTGGTTCCTCTAAAATGAAGGGGTTCTCCTCCTCAGAGTCTGAGAGCACCAGCGAGTCCAGCTCCTCCGACAGTGAAGATTCAGAAACAGGTTAGATGCAGCTTATTTAAAGACTCAGTCCTATACCTGTTTTCTGTATAAATAAATATGTTTTCATTACCGGCTTGGTCTTTAATTTTTTGTCTTTGTAATTTAACGATGTACACAGCATAGATGCTGCGTGTGGCCCCGTTTGGGCCCTGCATATACAACTTGGCGGTAGCGATGTTGTCTCTGGCGTTTCGCAAGCGCTGCAAGAGATTTTCATAAGCTTTACTTTTCTTAAGTTGGACGTGGGTGCGGGAGCCAAACTACAGCATGTGCCAAGGTATCTCTTTGTCTGCCTAATGACCTAGATCTGTATTTTTAGCAAGCTGCCGCGTTTTCCTCCTAGGAGGTCTAAAGCGTTCTCACCGGGAACGCTTGTGCAGCAGAGCGGCGTGGTGGGGAAAGGCGGAGGAAATGTGCATTTGTGTATAACAGCGTTTTTTTTATGGCATCAGGCAGGACTCTCTTGGAAAGTAGGATAACCATCCGGGGCAGCATCTGTTCTGCTTAGCTGTTTGGTTTTTCACGAGTACCAACCTCAGCCTTTCATGATCTGGGCTTCAGTGAGTCTGCTCTCACGTTCTCTTTAAGTATTGCTCTTTCCTGTAAAACCACTCGCTAGCAAAGCCGTACGGTCAGCTAAAGCGATTTTATCTTCTAGCTGCTAAACTGGGACTGGGGAAGTTAAACCGGGTTCTGTTAAGTCAGCAGTAACGAAACGTCGGTGCCTTCACTTGGTTAACGGGAGGTGCGCGCGGCAGCAAATAAGCCTGCTTTCTCTCCTAGCTGGATTGGGTCTGCAGTGCCGACAGCACCACAGACGAGCAGCAATATGCTGGTAACGTTTGGCCGCTTAGGTGCAAAGTTTGAGGCTCGCGTGCTTTTGGTAGGCGCAGAAAGAAAAGTTACGTGTGCCGAAGGCTCACAAACGTGCCGCTTTGAAAGCTGCAGGGACGTGCGAGTTGTCCAAATACTCTCGTTTTCCCTTCGCCTCCAAAAAGCAGCAGCTGGGCTTTATCGGGCTTGCGTCTGAGCTGCTCTGGCAACGCTCCCGAGAAACGCTCCGGTTTTTAAGGATGCGTTTGTTTGGGATCGTTCTACGGTGTGCTGTCTTTTAATTCAACGTACGGAGGTTGCGTGCCTTTGCCTACTTTAATGTATTTTTACTGGAAATCTTGTTGGGTTTTTTTTTTCAGGAACTCAGTTTTGATATAGCAGTTAGGGACAGCTGGCTTAGATGGTGACCAGAAGGTTAAATCAGTAGGCGCTAAATTTTGCCCTGAGTTGATGTGGAGAAAGATGGCCCTCGCTGCTTAACAAACCGCGAAGCCACACTGCCCGATTTATGCTCCCGGAAAAGACACTGTCCATTTATTTTCTGCTTTCCTGGTTGAATCTGTCAAAAGAGCTGATGCAGATTTGGACCTACCAAGGCTTCTTTGAAAGAAATTTGTTCCACAAGTTCCCAAACGCCCATTCTCTGCGCTTACCCCCCTCTGTGTCTCAGCTTGCTCTTTGCAGGGATGCGTGGATTTGGGGAACGGGCATGCCGTCCCTCTGATCCCGTTACTCATTTTCCACGTCCTATGACCATCTGTAGCATTGCAGTGGCACGGTCTGCCCACATTTTATAAGCTGAGGTTTGTCCCGGTTTTGTTCTGGGCCTCATAGTTGCACTAGTATGCAACTAATGCATAGTTGCATTATCTTTGACTGGCCACAACTCCAAATTTTGGGTTTTTTTTTTTAAAAGGAAATGAAGTGATTCCAGAATACTGATTTCTCGGCTACATACCCAAACGTTGCCAAAGAAACTTCCCGCTTCGCCTTGGCCGGTGCAAATCCTAGTAGCGAAACGCTGACGCATGCAAAAATCCCATTTATTTAAAATCGTGCTTTTTTCGCAGATGACTAAAGCACATGCGGACACGTTTCAGAGCGTGATTTGCGGCGATGGCCTCTGGCAATCCTCCGGAGCGCCAGAGCCCCTTCCCTCCCCGTTGCCTTTCCGAGCGCATCCGTTAGCTTTTCGACGAAGAGGTCAGGACCCGCAGGGCTGCTCCCAAAACTTTAAGCTGAGAAATCTTCCCGCCCGACCGTTTATCGGAGGGAGAAATTGCTAGCGATGGAAGATAAAGCTTTGGGATGGAGATGAGTAAAACCGTCTTGACAATAGGTTGTTGCAAGCAAAAGATAACGAAAGTCATTTTTCATTTTAAGAGTAATTTACAGTGATAGGTGGCGGGGGGTGGTTTTTCTAAAAAAACCTTTCCTACATAAAACGTACGAGCTGTTGGCAACCTTAAATATATATATTTCCTGCGAGGATGAGCTGGGGCAGCGCCTGCCCTGCCTAAGCGGCGAGTGGAGATTGGCAATTTCCTGATGCTCTTTGAAATTTGCCCCGCGATTTTGATACGATCTGGCATCTTTTGGTATTAACGGAGCGCTCGATTTGCCCACCGAGCCGCCACGCGGTGGGATTCCTCGGTGCTTTTGTGCGATAGATGTTTGTGGTTTTAAAGCGGCGGCCCGGGGCGATAGGTTACTTTTAATTTGTTTGCCCTTGATCGGTTTTGGGTTATCGTATATATAGCACTTTGATCTCTATAAAGAAGAGCAAGGCTGTTAATACTGACATGCATAAGCAAAATTAGATGCACGGATGCTATGAGATCGTAAACGAGAGCAAACTGAAATTGCACTTCTAAGGCAGCCTTCCAGTTTTCTCTCCTCAAAACCGCGTGCCGGTTCATCTCTCCCGAACCTGCCCGTTTCTTTTTTGCAGTGACAACCTCGGGATTATTTCTCTTCTACTCGCTTTAAGACGCGCGGTGTCTCTAGCCTTCCGTTTGGTTGGCGATCGAGCGCGTTGTTTTATTTTTAAGTCGCGAGCGGAGGTTCTTTGGCCGAAAATCTGCAGGTGCAACCCTCTGGAAAAAATAAGGAAAAAAAAAAATAATAATCCAAGTTTTATAACGCTCCGAAGGAAAAAATAATAATAATAATCCAAGTTTTATAACGTAGCAGGTGAGACCGAGCAGCCTTTGCCTTGCAGAAAGGGGCTTGCGAAGGCTCCCGCGGCGTTAGCACAGCGCGGGAACGGCCCGCCGAGGCGTCCGGCTGCGCCGGCCAGCTTTGCTGGTGCTTTTAGTCACTTAGGATGCGGCAGGGAGCGCGGATGCTCGGTTGGAAAACCCAGGAGGCCGTATTTCCGGTAGGTTGGGAAAAGCAGATAACGGTATTTAGCGCAGAGAGCAGCCTGCGTGTCGATACCTCCCGCTCAATCGTAGTGATAGCGCGAAATCCCCCCCCGCCCCGTCCCCATCTAGAACCGTATTTTGCTTTAACCGAGTCGAGACGTTTCCTGAGAACTCCCGAAAATTGAGTCCAGCGTAGAAATCTCCAGGCTGTGGCGCCTTCCACCCTTAATCTGGCTCGGAAAACGTAGAAACCCCATTTTTAGAGCTGCGAACCCTGCAGTGTTTCTGCTAAGGAGTTATTTTTTTCCTCTCCTGCTTTTAGGAACAGGGTGAGCCTTCGCCGCCGCATCTCCAAATCTCGACGCTCTCGGATTTAACTTGTAGCTGCCTGTACGGGCTGCTGGGGCGCGGGGGCTGACGCAGCTTGGTCCCAGCCCTGGAGAAACTCTTTGTTTGCTCAATTTGCTGTTTTATTTTCACGGGTTTTTAATATTAGCTCCGTTTTGCTCCGAGTTTGAGAGAGGTACACCGTTTATTCAGCTGACCCCGTTCTCGTTTCAAGTTTTGGAAATAATTAGGTCTGTTTTTTTTTTTTTTTTCTTTCCCCCTTTCTCGGCCTCTGTGTCTGCCCGGTGCCCGGCGTAAATGCACGGGAAAGCAGAGCCGCTTGTTGAAGTTTTTTCCCCAGCTGATGGTCGTTTGGACCCGACAGGAGAGGGCAGGGCTTTTTGTAAGCAAAACCCAGCTTAATCCCTACTGCAGCTGTGATTTTTTAGGGCACTCGCTCGCCATACAGGGCATAGGAAGCTGTTTTGAAGAGCAGAGAGAGGAGGCAGAATCGGTAAAAACCACCGTTTTCTGCCACGATGCTAAAAAAAACCCCATCCCAACCCCAGATTTCCTAGCCCCGAATCCAGCCGTCCGTGTAGGGGCTTTACGTTCTGCTATCCCGAAGGTGAGCAGACGGTTTCCTTTTATATTGAGGGAAGTTATATGGAGGAGCAATAGCATCATCACACGTTTTGGTGTTTTGGATTTTTTTTTTTTTTAAGTCTCTTTTAGCATTGTGAAAATATTCACCCCGAATCGGCCGTTCGTTCCTGCCGTGTTTTATTTCCCTGGGAGACGCCGGAGGGGCGCGGGATGGTGATAGCTTTTATGGGAATGTATAACTGCATGGTTTTTTTAGCAAAATTGTAATTGTGGCTCTCTCAAACCCCAAAGTGTGAACCGTGTGGACGCTGGAATGAATTTTGACAATGAATGTGCTGTTTTCTGACCGTTTTTTATTATTCCGCTTTCTTTCCGGTTAGTGTTTGCTCTGCTACAAATAATTACTTTCTCCAAAAGCTGTTTATTTTTCTATTTTATCTGCATGCTTTTTTTTGCTTTAACAGTAATGTAACTGCGATCTTTCCTTTGCAAAACGACCCGAGAAATTGTATAGTTTTTATATTTTTGTTTTTTAAATAATAAAATAAATAAAGTGTTTGGCTTGCTACAGAAAAAACGCACCTTTTGTATAATCATGGAATCAGAGTTTTAACCAATAATTTAAAGCAGAAACCGTAGCCTTGCTGATAGATAATGAGATATTATTCTTTTGCTATTCTAGGAGAGCGTGGGTGGGAGCAAGAAGATTATATTTAGGGCAAAAAAATAGTAGGGGGAAAAACACTGTAGAAACTTTCTAGAAAGGCACGTATCCGGCAACACGCCTGCGTTAGCAGAGGCTGCGGTTACGAGGAATCGCGCGCTCCTTTAGTCTTTCTGCGCTGAAAAACGCAGAAGTGACATCATGGAATTTGCTTTTTTTAAAAAAAAAAAACAACAACAACAAAAAAAAAACCCCAACCAAACCGCGTGCGCCGCGTCGTCGCTGGGTGGGTTTTTTGCTTTCTTTCCCAGCCTAAAACTCAGGCAGGGCTCGGAGGTCAGGCGAGAAAACGTTTCCATCCCCGGGGACGCGTCTGCCGCCTCCAAAGACTTTGCAGCGGGCGAGGTGGCAGCGCGGGGCCGGGAAGTGGTTTTGCATCCCGAAA